CCCCGCCCCTCCCGTCTCTCTGATAAACGAGGAGCGTTCAATCCTTTGTAATTGCGTGGGATTCTATATGCGACACCCTATATAGTTTTACGTATCGATATTTTTTGTATCTACTTTAAACGTCCTCGCAACAGCTAAGTATACGTGCACGATGCACCAATTGTCAACATGTATATACGATAACGTTTCCCGGGGTCTTTTCTATTTGTATACGGCAATTTTCCTCCAGTGTGAAGTGCTGCGCGAAGCGTGGCTTGTTATGTTGCTTTATATTTTTCTTTCGCACGAGACATCAGAATGACTGATAATGCAGTCCAAGATTATAGTTAGACTTGATTATATTATCGAGATATTTTCGATTTAATTATCGTGCGCGAGGAATGGGGGGAAATGACGGAACTGATAGTAGACTGAGATTTAATTTTTTTTTCAAATTTCTCAAAATTATTATTATCACGATCAGACGGTTATGACTCGTTTTATCATTGCGTGCATTTTCATCGTCATTGCTATGACTGCGCGTCTCTTAAGAACTAGAATCTAAAGTTTGCATGTCCTACGCACATCCTTCACAGTTATCATATTTGGTTATTCGTGAATTTTAGAAAAAAATTTTTAAGTAAAAAAAAGTTCGTCTATGTCGATATAATTTATATGTATAAATCATTATCGGTGATAGTCATTACCATTTCCCACTGATGAAGTTGTATTGAAACCGGCGCAGTCTTCACGTGGCTTGGGTATCGGTTTTGTATATTCCGATGAAAGCATTATTAATTATTTCAGCAAGATGTTACCGAGACGGTATGGCATACGTAAAATATCCTGCAGTTATGCAATGTGTTTTTGATCGAGTACTTATGTGATTGTTATATGCATACGCATAAAGTCATATTCATACTCCCCTGTGACGAGGAAGTGTGTGCCTCCTCGTGTTTACAAGAATACAGAGTCAAGAAGTCGCACAACTACTGTGATTTCTCGACTATAAAAATGCGATAAGATTTAGTTAATTTTTTTGCGATTTTAAACACGCGCACTGACGCTTTGCTGTCGCACGAATTAACCGCCAAGGCACGCGCCCGACGTGTAACAGACTGAATCATTTTTCTGCCGTATTATATTGCTAGTCCGAGACGCACCAACATGGAGCCAACTTATCCTTTACGTATTTTAAATACATGTTTCAACGTACTCACACGCGTTCACTCGATGAGAATCATCCAATGAGAATCACCGAGCAGAAAAAAGGAAGAAAAACAGTCGGTAAGAATATTCTCGAATCATTGCCCCCTGGGGACATGACTGAGGAAGTAGTAAGCAAGTAAGTACTACTGAGGAAATAATAAAGCAAGACGAGTTCACAGACCGCTGTAAATATGTATTTGATTTATTTTTTGTCCCTTCACCTCTTCGCCTAGTTTCCTCTGACTTCTCTACTCCTATCTACTTTCATTTGTCTGTCTAAATATTTGATATCATATCTCACGGTTTTTGAACATTCGCAGCACATCTGGCGCATGCGCATCAACTATAGGTGTAAACCGTTACGAGCACGAAACACGATATTTTTGACCTTCTGCTCGTCGCCGACTGATTGCCTGATGACGAATTTAAAGATAATTATAATCGGGCAGATTTGCTACTTTTATGAGTAGCTACTTGCTTGCATGCTTTATTTATCTGTTTGCATTCATGTTAGTAAATATTAGGCAGTAAGTGACTCCCACTTTTATCCATTACCTGAAACATTTCATTGGTATTAATATTCTGTTTGATCTGTTATCACACGCCCTCACATAAAGTGCAATCGAGGCGATCAACTGACTGCGTAATTTGTATGATTTCTTTTTTTTTTATGATTTGTGTTCGATTAATTGTCGATATCGGAAAGCTAACTCTCTGGTAACTTGAACGACGCCGGGCGTTGACGTGAAATAATGAGACGACCTTGGTATTCGTTACCACGCGCCTGAGGCTATGTCATATATTATGTTGAAGAATTACAGCAGACTTTACAAAACGGCTTTTGATAATTTAGGATGTGAGAAGGAGTCTTTGATTCAGTTTAGAAATACGTCTCTCATTGTGATTTACTACGTCTTGAAGGTAGACGCCAATTGTGAATGGTTTGACGTGTATATAAATCATTCTTCAAGTACACATGTATATTTCGACCTCAAAATGGGTGTTTGGAGGAGCAAGATTCGTATACGTTAGTGGTGAACATACAAGAATCACCCCCCCCCCCC